TAATCACAGATCACTCACCCCACAATAATATAACCCATATGCAACCATAACACAACCCACACGTGAGATCCATCCATTCTAGGGGAACGATGGCATTTGCCACACAGCAAAAATAAGGAGAGCAACAACCCTTGCCCTCACGTCCAGCTCTGCTCAGAGCAAACACTCCTCTCCTAACTCCCACAGGCACCGAGGGGCCAGCGCACACGGGATGGCTGCAGATCTCAAACCAACCTGTCTCATGGCCAGGAGGTGCTGCTCCTGCTGCTGCAGGTTCCACTGGCTCTGCTGGATGAGCTCCTCCACGGACGGGGTGCCCTGGGGGGCCGCGATGGGCGCGGCCGGCGGCAGCGAGGGCTGTGCCAGGGGCTGCATCTGTGCAGAAGCCTCCATGTCTTGGCTTTGCTTGCACAACACTGGCAGACAGAGTAAACTTTGAGAGTAAACCCCCCCGAGAAACCTGCTGCCGCCAGCCCACGGGTGGGAACGGCGCTGCTTCCAAAGAGACCCTCACTCTGAGGGGCTGAGGGGGGCTCCAGAGCTGCCTGGACAATGCTCTGACACTTGGGGGGGGTCCTGGGGTGTCCTGTGCAGGGCCAGGAGCTGGACTCGATGATCCTGAGGGGTCCCTTCCAACTCGGCACATCCTGTGGTTCCACACTTAACGCAAACCACAGGTGGATGGTGCCAAGGAGGAGTCAGCAACTGCCTGTGCACTGCCAGAGGGACAGGACACGCCGAGCTCCGGGTGCCCAGCTCCCGCTCTCCCAGTGCCCAGCTCCGGCTCTCCCAGTGCCCAGCTCTGGCTCTCCCCATTGCCCAGCTCTGGCTCTCCCAGTGCCCAGCTCCGGCTCTCCAGTGCCCAGCTCCGGCTCCCCCCTGCCCGCCTCCAGCCCCACAGCCGGGGCCGTGGGCAGCGCTGAGCCCACCAGCGGGCACCCCGGGCGCAGGAAGAGGCCGCAGAGCGGTGCCGGCGGAGCAGGACGAGCCCAGGAGGGACAAAAGCACAAAAGCGTCCCGCCACACCGCGACACCCGCGCTTGACGGCGCCGTCGCCGTGGAGACGGCGCGCGCCGCCGGTGACGCGCGGCCGCACGGCGCGGCGGGGGCGGGGCCAGGGGAGGGGATTGCTAAATACCGAGAAATAACGAGAAATAACAATAAATAACAATTAAATAACAATAAATACCGAGAAATAACGAGAAATAACAATAAATAACAATTAAATAACAATCAGGAAGAGGCCGCAGAGCGGTGCCGGCGGAGCAGGACGAGCCCAGGAGGGACAAAAGCACAAAAGCGTCCCGGGCGGCCGAGCCCGAGCCCCGCGGCCGGCGGGGAGCGAGCCCCGAGCCGGCCCTGCCCGGGCCGCAGGCCCCACTCACGCTGCTGCTGCTCCAGCGCCAGCTTGTACTTGTAGTAGCCGTAGAAGTCTCCCCCGAAGAGGAAGGAGAACTTGGGGTTCTCCTTCTGCTTCTCCATCGTCATCTTCTCGAACTCGGGCCCGTTCCGCGCCACAAACTGCGCCAGCTTGTCGATGACATTCCGCAGCTCCTGGTCTGTGGGGAAGCAGCGCCGTCAGCCCCCCGCCGTCCCCCCCATTCCCGCCGTCCCCCCATTCCAAATAACAATAAATAACGATTAATAACGATAAATAACAATTAAATAACAATTAAATAACAATAAATAACTATAAATAACGATTAAATAACAATTAAATAACAATTAAATAACGATAAATAACGATAAATAACAATTAAATAACAAATACCGATAAATAACAATTAAATAACGATAAATAACAATAAATAACAATAAATAACGATTAAATAACAATAAATAACGATAAATAACGATTAAATAACAATTAAATACCGATAAATAACGATAAATAACAACTAAATAACAATAAATAACAACTAAATAACGATAAATAACAATTAAATAACGATTAAATAACAACTAAATAACAACTAAATAACAATTAACTAACAATGAAACCTCGAAATGTTGGCTTGGGCCCTTTTGTTCTGTTCAGGCATTGAAGGTACCTGAGATGGTGTTTTGTGTTCAGGCTTCAGTGGTTTTATTTTATTTTATTTTATTTTATTTTATTTTATTTTATTTTATTTTATTTTATTTTATTTTATTTTATTTTATTTTATTTTATTATTTCTGTGAGGATCTCCCAAGCAGTGAGCTCCGTAGTATCCTATTAATGAGTTATAAAGTGGCTAATTCTCTTTGTCCACAAGGTCTTTTAAGGTTCAACTATCCAATTAGGAAATTAGGAAATAAACATGATAAACTGGTTTATTTTTAACTCAATAACTAATCACCCCAACCCCTCAATTTTCTAATTACAAAACACTCCCGAAACTCGTGAGGGATTCATTTCTGCCTTCAAACTTTTCTTTTGCTCTCTCTCTATATATTATATATATTTTTATATATATATATAATATATATATATTACATATATATATTACTGTATTCTAAATCTCTAATCTCTAAGTTTTCTCCGCTGTGATGTCACACGGCTCTAATTAAACCACGCGCCTGTAATTAATCCGTTCTGGAAGCTTTTTCTGAGGGACAGCACGGGCAGGGTTCAAGGGGCTGAGCTGCCGCGGCGCCAGGGCTCGCTGCCTTTGGGAATTGTTTTAAAAGTTCAACCAGAGCTGAACTTTTAAAATAGTTTTAATACAATTAGAATTTAATAATAATTTTTATACATTTAAAATAATTTTTAATACAAAGTTTAATACAATTAATTCTTTTTTATTTTTAATACAAAGTTTAATACAATTAATTCTTTTTTTCTTTTTCTTTTTTTCTTTTTTCTTTTTTTCTTTTTTTCTCTTTTTTCTTTTTTTTCCTTTTTTCTCTTTTTTCTTTTTTTCTTTTTTTATTTTTTTTCTTTTTTCTTTTTTCCTTTTTTCTTTTTTTCTTCTTTTTTTTTCTTTTTTTCTTTTCTTTTCCTTTTTTTTCTTTTCTTTTTTTTTCTTTTTTTTCCTTGTGTGTTCCACTGGACTATTACATTTTGGCCTCCCAAAAGGGTTCCAGAGCAGTTAAAGCCAGCGAAGCAAACCCGGGAATTACACACAGAATATTTTCTCAGCGCTCTCAGGTGAGCCCCTAGCATTGACGGGAGGCTGGTTTGCTTTATTCACTCTGAAAATGAGATTTCATTTCCTCTCTCAAGGGTGGAGAGATGCCCGCGTGCCTTGCAGCACCCCAGACCAAACCAGCAGGAAAAGCACAGCATTACGGAATTTCTGGGGCTGATAAAGGATCAGGAATATACAAAATTCTGCACTTGATCACCTGCTCTCTGTGTGCTCGGGGCTGAGAGTCACCTGTGGGGTGCTCCGGGATTTTTGTAAGAAAATACTTTTGTTATATACACGGATAAAGGCGTCTTGTACGCTTTAAAACCATATATATGTATAGGATAATGTATAATATCACAGCTCTGGTAAAATAGATTATAATTGACTTCTTGCTCATAAAAGCCAGAGATAAAATTAACACTTAATGCCATTTAGCATTGGCTCAGCTTGGAGGACAACCCACACCACTTAAATCACACACAGACAGTGGGCACGATGCACAAATGAATGTGGATGTGTGGAAAGCTCAGTGCAGGGCAAACTGAACCAAATAAAATAAAATAAAATAAAATAAAATAAAATAAAATAAAATAAAATAAAATAAAAAAAATAAAATAAAATAAAATAAAATAAAATATCGTAAAATAAAACAAAACAAAACAAAATAAAATAAAATATCGCTCAAATAAGGAGCAATACCAATGAAGCCCACAGATAAAAAGCCTCAGATCTCCCTGCTAGGTGTTTTTCTTTACAGTGCTGTAATTCAAGTGAGTTTGGCTGTAGCCATGATATTTTATGGAAAATCCTCTGCTAGGATTTTTCCTGTCCTGAGGAGCTGAGAGGCTCAGAAAAGAAATATAAACAATAATTATCTGCTGCTGTGGGATGCACAGGTGTGGCTCCGTCCCAGCCAACAGGGGACACAACCAACAGCGGGACCCTCACGCCATGAAACATCATCCCCAAGAGCCCCCCAAAATCCACCCCCACACATCCCCAAGAGGCTCCAGCCCCAAAAATCCACCCCACACACATCCCCAAGAGGCTCCAGCCCCCAAAATCCACCCCACACAGCGGTGCAGTGCTGAAGGAGCCCTGGGCCCTGCGGAATTTCAGCAGGGAGCTGAGCAGCCCTGCCCAGAGCCCAAACACCAAGCCCGGCCCTTTGTCCCGGGACACAAAAGGCACCGGCCCCGGCTCCCGGTGCCCGGGGTGGGCACGGGGACAGGGGCGGCACCGCAGGGACCGGGGACAGCCCCGGGACCCCCTGAGTGCGCTGGGAGGGCTGGGGGCTGGGGGGTTTGGGGTTGGGAATGAGGGGTGGGGAATGGGGGATTGGGATTGGGGGATTTGGAAATGGGGATTTGGGATTGGGAACGAGGGGTTGGGAATGGGGGATTTGGGATTGGGGCATTTGGGATTGGGGATTTGGGAATGGGGGATTTGGAAATGGGGGATTTGGAAATGGGGGATTTGGAGTTTGGGAATGGGGCATTTGGGAATGGGGGTTTGGGATTGGGGGATTTGGAAATGGGGATTTGGGATTTGGGGGTTTGGGATTGGGAGATTTGGACATGATCTTTAAATTCCCACCCCATTTCCCCTAAATCCCATTCCCACCCTATTCCCCCCTATTTCCACCCCATTTTCCCTTAAATTCCCCCATTCTCACCCATTTCCCCCCCATTTCCTCTTTTTTTCCCCAATTTCTCCCCATTTCCCATTTTTCCCCCCAAAATCCCTCCCACATCCCCTCCGAACGCCCCCACTCCCACAAAAGGGGTGAAAATCTGGGGGAAAATTTGGAGGGAGGGGGAAGAAAATAAAAAAGGAAAAATGGGGACAAATGAGAGAAAAAATGGGGGAATTTTGGGGGGGAAAAAGAGGAATTGAGGGAAACTGGGGGGAATCTGGGAGGAATTTGGGGAATTTAGGGGAATTTGTTCCCCTTCACCTTCCAGCTGCTCTCATCCTCCTTCTCGTCCAGCCCATTGTGGATGTAAACGACATCAAAGAAGAAATAGGGGCACTGCAGCAGCTTCTGGGGGAAAAGGGGGGATTTGGAGGGGATTTGGGAGGGTTTGGGGGGAGATTTGGGGGGTGTGGGGTGGAAATGGGGGATTTTGGGGTGGAAAAAGGAGAATTTTGGGTGGAAAGGGGGAATTTTGGGGTGGAAAAATGGGGATTTTGAGGGTGGCACAGGGGTTTTGGGGTGGCACAGACCTTGACGTGCTCGCCCCCACAGAAGTGGGGCTGGCAGTGTGGGAAAGGAGGGATTTTGGGGGTGGCACAGGGGTTTTGGGGTGGCACAGACCTTGACGTGCTCGCCCCCACAGAAGTGGGGCTGGCAGCGCGGGCGCCCGAACACCAGGATGGTTCTGACCACGAAGGGCGGGGGGATGGTCTGGACATTGTCGGTCACCGGCAGCTCCACCTTCTGCTGGCTGCAGGGGACAGGGACACGGGGACAGGGAAGGGGACAGGGATGGGAGAGGGGGCACCCATGAGGACAGGGATGGGGACAGGGACAGGACAGGGTGGCACCCATGGGGACAGGGATGGGGACAGGATGGCACCCATACAAGGACAGGGATGGGATGGTACCCACAGGGTCAGGGTGGCACCCATGGGGATGGGGACAGGGTGGCACCCACAGGGACAAGGACAGGGGGGCACCCATACAGGGAGAGGGGGACACCCATGGGGATAGGGATGGGTTGGCACGCATGGGGACAGGGACAAGACATAGTGGCACCCACGGGGTCAGGGTGGCACCCACAGGGATGGGGACAGGACAGGGTGGCACCCACAGGGACAGGGCTCAGGTGCCACCCTCCCCTGGCACCCTCCAAGCCCTCCTGCCCCCTCCCGGAACATTCTGGAAGCCCCCGGTGCTCACATGAGGTTGAAGAGCCCGTCCAGATCTGAGCTCGAGGTCAAGGCTGCTCCTGGCACCTGTGCCACCCCCAGGGCCACCCAGACACCCGTGCCACCCCCAGGGACACTCCCAGGGCCACTTCGCACATGTGCCACCCCAGGGCCACCCCAGGGACATCTCCAGGGCCACCCTGGCACCTGTGCCACCCCTAGGGTCACCCCCAGACCTATCCCAAGGGCCACCCTGGCACCCAAGACACCCCGATGCCACCCAAGGGACCCCAGTGGCGCCCCGGTGGCAAAGAAGGGACAGCCCTGGCACCCAGGACACCCAGAGCGCCCCGATGGCACCCCGGTGGCACCCCGGCACGCGGTGGCACGGCAGGATACTGAAGGACTGGCACACGACGGTGTCCAGGTCGTAGAGGCAGCTGCAAACCTCGCGGGGATCCGACGTGAACCCCGAGAGCTGCGGGGGCACCGGGCTGGCACCGGGCCCGTCCCTTGTCCCCATCCCCGTGTCCCTCCCTGCCCCTTGTGCCACTCCCTTTGCCCTGTGCCCATCCCTGTCTCCTCTGCCAACCCCACATGCCCATCCTGTCCCTGTCCCAAACCCGTGCGCACCCCTGTCCCCATCCATCTCCCTGTCCTCATCCCTGTCCCCAACTCATGCCCATCCCTGTCCCTGTCCCCAGCCTTGTGCCCCCTGCCAGTCCCCCATGCCCATCCCTGTCCCTGTCCCCACCCTCGTGCCCCCTGCCAGTCCCCCATGCCCATCCCTGTCCCCAGCCCATCCCCCTGCCCCCTGGCACCTCAGCCCCCCACTGTCCCCATCCCTGTCCCCTCTGCCCGTGCCCATCCCCATCCCCACTCTATGGCCATCCCTGTCCCCCCAGCCCCTGTCCCTGTCCCCACCCCGTGCCCGTGTCCCCCTGTCCCCGTGCCCGTGTCACCCACCCAGGTGGCATCGTTGTTCACCACCACCAGGGCGAACTCGTGGCTTTTGTCGATTTTGTGTTTGGTCCTGACGAACATCTCGATCATCTTCTGTGCCACCGTCAGGGCATTGCTGCGGCACCTGCGGGCAGCAGGGCACCACTGACACCCCAAAACACCACCAACCCCAAAACACAAACCCCAAACACCAACCCCAAACACCACCAACCCCAAAACACAAACCCCAAAAACACCACAAACCCCAAAACACCACAAACCCCAGAAATACAAACCCCAAACACCACCAACCCCAGAACACCACAAACCCCAAAACACCACCAACCCCAGAAACACAAACCCCAGAAACACCACAAATCCCCCCTGGCACCCCAAAACACCACACAAACCCCAAAAACCACAGCTGGCACCCCAAAAACCTCACCTGGCACCAACAGGCACCGGGTCAGGGACCCCAAAACCAGGAGGGACAGGGATGGACACAGAGACGGGGACAGGGAGTGGCACACGGACAGGGACAAATCAGTGCTGGGGCTCAGGGCCCCAAAGCCAGCCCCCCGGCACTGTCCCCTGTCCCCGTGCCCTGTCCCTGTCCCCGTGCCCTGCCCTGGCACTGACCCGTTGAAGGACTCCAGTTTGGGCACTGCCATCTCCTCGGCCAGATCCAGGCAGATGATCTGGGGGGGCACAGCTGAGACCCCCAAGTGTCCCCAGGGACCCCCAGGGACCCAGCGTGCCCCCATTCCCCTCCCAGTCCCCTCCCAGGTCATCCCAGTCCCTCCCAGTCCCCCCCAGTCCCCTCCCAGTCCATCCCAGTTCTCTCCACCATTTCCTCACCACCTTCTCGGGGCAGTTCACCCGCGGTGTTCTCACGGTCACCTCGCCGTGCTGGGCACCGCCGGGGCCGTGCCAGGCTGTGCCAGGCTGCCCGGGGGGGCTGTGCCCGGCGCTGGCCGCCTCGCCCTCGCCCTCGCTCCGGTTGCCCACGGCCTCTGCCCGGGTGCCCTCGCTCCGGGTGCCCACGGCCTCTCCTCGGTTGCCCACAGCCTCTCCCCGGGTGCCCACGGCGTCCCCCCGGGTGCCCACGGCGTCCCCCCGGGTGCCCACGCTGCCCAGGCCGCTCGGGGCTCGGTCCTCGGCGCCCTCGGGGTTCGAGCGGGTGCGAGGCCGAACTTCTGGAAGCTTCTCCTCCTCATCCTCGGCCGCGCTGCCCGGCTCCGACGGGTCCATGCTGGAACTGGGGGGCTGGGACCCCAAAAATGGGGGGTGTGCTGGGGCTGGGACCCCAAGATCAGCGGGTTTGGGGTGCGGTGGAGCTGGGACCCCAAAATCAGGGGGTTTGGGGTGCTGTGGGGCTGGGACCCCAAAATTAGCGTGTTTGGGGGTGCAAGGAGGCTGGGACCCCAAAACCGGGGGGGGTTCTCTGTGCCTGGGACCCCAAATCAGAGGGTCAGGGGGTCCTGTGTGCTTGGACCCCAAAACCAGGGGGTGCTGTGGGGCTGGGACCCCAAATCAGCAGGTTTGGGGTGCTGTGGGGCTGGGACCCCAAGATCAGCAGGTTTGGGGTGCGGTGGGGCTGGGACCCCAAAACCAGGGGGGGTTCTCTGTGCCTGGGACCCCAAAAGTGGGGAGATGCCAGCGTGGCTGTGACCCCAAACCCGGGGGGCTCGGGGGGCAGCCCGGTGCGTGGGGAGGGGCTCCAAGGAGTCTGGGGGGTCCCCCACTCTTTGCACCCCATTCCCCCTCACCCCGCTCCTCCTCGGAGCCCCCTCCTCACGCACCCCCATTCTCGGACCCCCTTTCCCACGCCCCTCCCCCGCCCCACGAAAGCCTCCGAGCCCCCCGCGCTCACCGCTCGCCGCCGCTCTGGCCCCGCCGGAAATGGCGCCGCGCGAGGGCTGCTGGGATTTGTAGTTCCTTTGGGTGCCCCGCTGCCACCACCGGAGGGAGCCCCGAACGCCTCCCCACGCCCCTGTCCCCTCACTCAGCCCCTTCCCCACATCCTCCCTGTTCGCGTTCACCCCCTGAGCCCCCCAAGCCCCCCATGAACCCCGCAAAGCCGCCCGCGCTCACCGCTCGCCGCCGCTCTGGCCCGGCCCCTTTCCGCCGGAAGTGGCGCCGCGCGGAGGCTGCTGGGAGCTGTAGTCCCTCTGGACCCCCGGCGAAGCCCCCCGCCCCACAAATGCCCCGACAAACCGCGCTGCGCCTCTGCCGCACTCCAAACATCGTGTGAACCCCCCCGAACGGCTTCCTGCACCCCAAATTTCCTTGTGTCCCGCCCTCTGCACCCCAAATCCCCGCGTTCTACCCTAAACATCCATGCGCACCCTCAGAACTGCCACCCGCCCCCCAAATGTCCATGTGCGCCCCCCAAATATCCACCTGCACCCCCAGATATCCGCCTGCACCCCAAACATCGATGGGCGCCCCCCAAATATCCACGTGCACCCCAAATATCCACCTGCACCCCAAATCCCCGTGTACCCCCCCCAGAACCGCCTCCCACACCCCAAATCCCCCTGCTCCACACCGCGAGCCGGGAACCGGGGGGGACCGGGGAGAGAACGGGAACCGGGGGGGACCGGGAGAGAACGGGGGGACCGGGGGGGACTGGGAGAGAAATGGGAATGTGGGGGAACCGGGAGAGAACGGCAGGAACCGGGACAGAATGGGGGAAACCGGTAGAGAACGGGAACCGGGAGAGAATGGGAATGTGGGGGGAATCAGGACAGAAGGGGAACATGGGGGGACAAGGAGAGAACGGGACCCCCGAGATGGAGTGGGACCCTCGGTGTGGAATGGGACAGAACGGGACCTTCGGTGTGAAACTGGGACCCTGAGATGGAACCGGGACAGAACGGGAACCCCGGGATAGAGCGGGACCTGCTGGGACCCCCGGTGTGGGACTGGGAGAGAACAGGAACCCCGGGGGGAAACTGGGACCTGCTGGGAGCCTGGGGACATCCCGGAGCCCCCGTGTGGAACCGGGACGTGTTGGGACCCTCAGAGTGGAGCTGGGACGTGCTGGGAGCCCCAGTTTGGGACTGGGACGTGCTGGGAGCCACGGGCAGGACGATCCCGGCATGGAGGAGGTGAGCGGGCACAGCGCGGGGCTGGCCCCAAATTGAACTGACCCCAAACGGGGCTGACCCCAAACAGGGCTGAGCCCACCCGGGCCTGGCCCCGCCGCTCCCGGGGCTCCCCGTGCCCGCTCCGCGGTTCAGGTTCCCGCGGCGGGCAGCAGGACGGGGCTGGTGGCCCAGCGGGCCGGGCCGGTGGCCAAAGCTCATCCCTGTGCCAGGAGAGCCCGGTAAGTGCCACCCGCTGTGCCCCCGGTGCTGAACCGGGCACGGACACCCCCACGGACACCCCCACGGGCACCCCCACGGCCCGGGCCCCGCGCGAGGAGGAGGAGGAGGAGGAGGAGGAGGAAGAGAATGATGAGGACGTGGCCGGTGACACCGAGGACATCCCGCTGCTGGCAGGGGCGGCCCCGCGACAGCAGCGCCCCGCCAGGTACCGGCACCGCCCCCGCGCCACCCGCGGGGACACCGGGACAGCGGGGACAGCGGGACCGAGGGGACACCGGGACTGAGGGGACAGCGGGGACAGTGGGGACACCGGGACTGAGGGGACAGCGGGACCGAGGGGACACCGGGACTGAGGGGACAGCGGGGACAGTGGGGACACCGGGACTGAGGGGACACCGGGACTGAGGGGACAGCGGGACCTCACCGTGCCCTTCCTCGCCCCGCAGTGAGGATGAGGAAGGCTGGGAGGCCACCCCCTCTGTCGCCACTGTCGCCGCTGCCAGCGCGGACGGTGAGCGCCGCGCCACCACAGGTGCCACCAGCGCGCTGTGCCTGCCCTGATGGCAGTGTCGCTGTCGCTGTCCCCAGCGCGCGGCCCGGATCTCTTCGAGCGCCTGCAGCACGCCGTGAGCTCCCTGGAGCGCGCCGTGTTCTCCCGCCACCGGCAGCCCCCGCCGTGGCCGCCGCCCGCCCCGGGCTGGCACCGAGCGCTGCAGGTGAGGCACGGCACGGCCCGGCCCGGGGGGCACGGAACCTGGGCCAGCGGGACGAGGAGCTGGGCACGGCCGCGGCCGCGCTGCGGGCGCTGCGGGGCGAGCGGGAGCGCCTGCAGGGCAAGGTGGGTGCGGGACAGCGGCTGTCACCCGCGGGGTGTCACCGGGTGCCACCGGCGGGTGTCACCAGAGCGGTGCCGCTGCTGAGCCCCGTGTCCCGTTCAGGTGCGGGACCTGCGGGAGGCTCTGGCCAGGCTGGAGGAGCTGGGAGGGTCTGGCAGTGACGTCCTCGGGGTCGGTGACACGCCCGGGACTGGCGACACCTCCGGGACCGGTGACACTCCCGGGGCTGGTGACATCCCCGGGGTCGGTGATACTCCCGGGGTCGGTGACACCCCCGGGCCCAGCAGCCCCCCGGGGCACCGGGTGAGTGCGGGGCTGTGCCACGGGTGGGTCCTGCCCTGGCACGGGGCACTGGGGTCCCCTCCGCAGGATGTCACCCGGGGTGCTGGCAGTGCCGTCCCCCGGGTGACCCCCCCGGGCCGCTGCCCTCCATGTCGCCCCCTCCCCTGCAGCCCCGCGCGCCGCTGTCCCCACAGCCCTCGGCAGATCCCGGCCGGGAGCAGGAGGAGCGGCTGCAGCAGCTGCAGGGGTGAGTCCCCCCCGAGCCCCGAGTCCCCCCCGAGCCCCGAGTGCCCCCCGAGCCCCCCGGCCCCGGGGACACTGAGGCACGGCCCGGTGCCCGCAGGGTGCTGGCGCGGCTGCAGGAGGCGAACCGGGAGCTGCTGGCGGCGCTGGGAGAGTGCAAGGGCGAGGCGGAGCGGCTGAGCCTGGAGCTGGGCTGGAGAGAGGCGCGCTGCAGCGGGCTGAGGCTGGCACTGCGCTGCAGGTGGCACAGGGGACACGGGAGGGGGACAGGGGACACGGGAGGGGGACAAGGACAGCCCCACTGAGCTGCAGCGGGCTGAGGCTGGCACTGTGCTGCAGGTGGCACAGGGATGGGGACAGGGACAGGGACAGGGGTGGGGACAGGAATGGACACAAGGATGGGGCAGGGGACAGGGATGGGGACGTGAATGGGGACAGGGATGGGATACAAGGGGTGGGATGGGGACAGGGATCAGGATCGAGACCGGGATCTGGATCAGGACGGGGACTCGGATGGCAATGGGGACAAGGATGAGGAATGGGGACAGGGACAGGGCTGGGGACAGTCCCCTGAGCCCCTCGTCCCCCAGCGAGCACTGCGGGGGGGCCTACGCCGCCCTCCTGGACCTGGTGCGGGCAAGGATGGCACCGGAGGGTGGCACCCGTGGCGGTGAGTGACAGCGAGGGGACACCGGGCACACGGGGGGACACGGGGGCTGGGGGAAACTGGGGGGTTGTGAGCGGGGATACTGGGAATACTGGGGGGATACTGGGGAGATACTTGGGGGGATGCTGGGGAGCAATCAGGGAGGAGGCTGAAGGGATGTGTGAGGGGATACTGGGGGATGCACGAGGGATACTGGGAGGTACTGGGAGGGCTTCGGGGATGCAGGGAGCTTGTGGGGCATTCCAGTGCCACCCACATCCCCTTGCGGGCACCCCCGGGCAGCGGCACTGCCCGCACCGTGCCCGGGAACCGCGGCGGAACCGAGCCCGGGCCGCGAACCGGGACCCGGCCCCGCCACACCGGAGCCCCCGGAGCCAGCGGAGCCGGACAGCCGTGAGGACCCCGCGGACAGGTACCGGGGGGCGCGGGGGTCCCGGCGCTGAGCCCCCCCGGGTACCCCGTGCCCACCGGCGCCGTGCCTGCCCCGCAGCCCCCGGGGGATGGAGGAGGGAGCGCTGCGGGAACGCATCCGGCGGCTCCGCGCCGAGCAGGCGGCGGTGGAGGGGTCCCTGCTGGACGCCCCCGAGCCCGCGGAGCCCCCCCGGGAGCGCGACCCCCGGGGCCGGGCGGAGCGGGCGCTGCGGGAGGCGCGGGCGCTGCTGCCCGGCTGGAGGCGGCCGGACAAGGAGGAGCTGCTGCAAGAGCTGGCGGTGCTCAAGGTGGGGCCGGGGTCCTTGCCTGGATCCCTCCCTGGATCCCTCCCTGGATCCACCATGGGATCCTTCCCTGGATCCCTTCATGGATCCCTTCCCTGGATCCTTCCCTGCGACCCTTTGTGGATCCCTCCCATGACTTCTAAATGGATTTCTCCATGGATCCCTCCACGAATTCCTTCATGGATCCTTCCCTGGATCCCTCCTATGATTTCTTGATGGATTTCTTCATCGATCCTACTCTGAATCCTTTCTTGGGTCCTTCCCTGCATCCATCCATGGATCCCTTCATGGATCCGTCCCTAAATCCTTTCTTGAGTCCCGTCATTAATCCCTCCCTGGATCCTTCCCTGCGACCCTCCCTGGATTTCTTCATGGATTTCTCCATTGATCCCTCCCTGGATCCTTCTCTGGATCCCTTCATGAATTCCTTCAGGGATCCTTCCCTGAATCCTTCTCCGAATCCTTCCCTGGGTCCCTCCGTGGATCCCTCCCATGATTTCTTAATGGATTTCCCCATGGATCCTTCCCTGCATCCTGCCCTAAATCCCTCCCGGATCCCTCCCTGGATCCCTTCCCGGTGCCTCCCGGATCCCTCCCTGAATCCTTCCCTGGCTCCCTCCCGGTCCCTCCCCGGTCCCGTCCCTGTGTCCCCGGCCGTGCCTCAGTTTCCCCGCGGTGCCAGGAGGCGCTGGCGGAGCTGCGGACGCGGCTGCAGCTGGCGCAGAAGGAGAAGCGGGCGCTGGAGCTGCTGCTGGCCGCGCACGGGCCCCGCGAGGCCGCGCTGCGCCTGCTGCTGCGGGAGCGGCACCGGGAGCGGCACCGGGAGCGGCACCGGGAGCGGGAACCGGGGCGGGAACCGGAGCGGGAACCGGAGCGAGACCGGGACGGAGCCTCCGGCAGCAGCTCCGGCAGCAGCTCCAGCAGCAGCTCCGAGGAGGTGCGCATGGATCCCATGGGGAGATTCCCGGGATTCGGGGGATGCCGAGGGATGGGAGACACCGGGAATCTCTGCAGGAGGCGCGGATGGGCCGGGGGGCGGCGATGGCCCCGGGGAACCCCCCGGACCCCCGGAGGACGAGGGAGGAGCTGCTGCGGATCCGGGAGCGGTGAGGGACGGGAGCGGTGGGGCTGGGAATTCTGTGGGGCTGGGAATTCTGTGGGGCTGGGAATGGTGCGGGATTGGGAATTCTCTGGGATTGGGAACGGTGTGGGGCTGGAATTGTGGGACTGGGAATGGCGTGGGGTTGGGAATTCTATGGGACAGGATATTCTGTGGGGTTGGCAATGGTGTGTGGTTGGGAATTCTGTAGGATTGGGAATTGTGTGGGACTGGGAACTGTGTGGGATTGGAAGTTGTGTGGGATTGGGAATTCTGTGGGGCTGGGAATGGTGTGGGGTTGGGAATTTTGTGGGATTTGGAATTGTGTGGGACAGGGGATTCCGTGGTGCCGGGAATGGTGCCGGGGCCGGGCACGGTGCTCTTTGGGCTCGGGGTGGCCCCGGTGACGCCCCCGTGTCCCCAGCACGGAGCAGCTGCGTGGCCGTGCCCGGGAGCTGGCGCTGGCCCTGGAGCGGGGCAGCGCTGCCAGCCGTGCCCAGCAGGGACACAGCGCCAGCGTCACCCTGGAGCTGCTCCAGGCGCACAGGTGGGCACGGGGCCTCGGGACGGGGTCCCCTGGGTGTCCCTTGGGTGTCCCTCGGTGTGTCCTGGGTGTCCCCTGGGTCCCTTCATTTCCCCTGAGTCCGTTTGGGTCCCTGGATCCCTGGAAACCCTGACTCCCCTCATTCCCCTGGCTCCCTAAATCCCAGAATCCCTGGATCCCCCAACTCCCTGACTCCCTAAATCCCCGGCTCCCTGATTCCCTGACTCCCCAAATCCCAAATTCCCCACATCCCCCCACTCCCCATCTCCCAAAATCCCCAAACCCTCCAAACCTCCAACTCCCCAAATCCCCCGATCTCCCCCCATCTCCCAAAATCTGCAAACCCCCCAATCCCCCACCTCCCTGACTCCCTAAATCTCCAGATCCCCCCATTCCCCATCTCCCTAAACCCCCACACCCCCAATCCCCCGGCTCCCCCGGTTCCCCCG